ATAATTATCTATTTCAGAGCACACTTCATAAGGGATTGTTGAATTTTAGAGACTGAGACCGCACCAAATTAAGTTATGTATGTTCACTGCATAAGGATATGTCTGAAAATTAAAAGACGGGATGTAACATTAAAATCAGGTAACCAAACTAATTCTCGGAGGTACTAACAAAACAGGATTCCTAACAAGGACATGAAAACACAACATGTTGTGTTTTAAAACATCATCCTGTTTGAGGAAAGGAACATCAGCCTAGTCTAGAACACACCACTTAACAGAAGCCCTTTACAAACTCTCTCTTTGGTATCACTTACCTTGCTGGTTTCTGGACTATCAGGATCAAACTGAACTTGTTTAACAGCCAGTTCTCTTCCGGTATCGGCATCATAACACAGATATACCCTGCCAAATGCACCTTGACCCAGCAGTTTACCAAGTCTCCAGTTAGTTGGAGCTCGTGGTGCTGAAAATATAAGTATGTTTTGGTTTTCAAATGAGCTTGTTATTCAGCTGATCAAGAAAAACTGGAATACACAGAAAATAGTTTTTTAAAAGACTACGTTTTTCAACAACAGAGACTGTGCGTCCTAAACCTCCCCATTTAAGTTACAAAGATCAATAAAACTTCCTGTAAGATTGAAAACATGAGCTACTTTAAATTTAGTCACAAAATAATTTGTGGCAGAGATAGACACGCTTAAAACAACTAGCAACAGCTAATCTGAAAGACAGAAAAAGCACGTTAAACAAACTTAGTAACATTTTTTAAAAAAATTGAGGCATGATTAAAATATACCAGCTACTGACGTCATCACAAAGTATATTTGTTCCTGAAATGCTACCACAGATATAAACCAGTACCACTTGAGGTCTACAATTTATCAGAAAACTTGACCAACATCTGCCAAAATAAATAGTAACTGCAACCTACATAACCCTTCTCGGGTCCTCAAGAGTCTAACAAATCATCAAAAATATTTTTACAGTGTTCTGTTATCACAGATGCAAACTCCGTGTGAAAATCTACATGAAGGTTGGCACCGTAAGCAATGAAAAAAACTGACGAGCATACAGTCTTGACTTTTTCCTATTAGACAGATAAAACATATTATTCAATTGCATGTATTTTGATGACATGCTTAGTTTTGACATGATATACTGGAAAGGTAAGAGTTTTACAGCGGAGTTCACAAAATGCCTTAACTTACACCGACTGGGTGGGCTGATGTCCATGACTGACAAGGTAGGATTGTCTATGTCACTTCCCCTCCTCCTCATTCGGTTATCTTCATATTCCGGCGTAAAGACGCTGCTCCCACTACTGGTGCTCAGTGAGTGATCAGTGGGACTGAAACTAACTGGTGATCGGAAGCTGTTCCCCTGAGTCCTTCTGGCTCTTGGAAAAGTTTTACGACCTTCAATGATATACAAAGAATACTAATGTTACACTACAAAAAATACTGTTACGCAATGTGCGTATGCAAATACTCTATGAATTCCACATAATGTAGTTCAAATGTTCCACAGCATATGATATGATGTAATGATCATGAAATTTACTGGTTTAACTTTCCACCTAGAAGAAAACAAACATTCATCACAGATGTATGTAATGATTAGACTGAATCAAAAACTGGTTTACATTTAAGTGACCACAACTGGGACCAAATTCTGGAACTGTTCCAAAATATAATCGACATGCTTCAGAAACCTGGAGGGCTGTGAGAAGAGAAAGGAAAATGCCCTGCCTCGACTTTTATTGCTCTATTAAGGTACAAATACCAATTTTTTTTATAAATAGGAGAGAGGTATGTTTACATTCCAGTGGTGCCCAGGCTGGCATCTTCATCCTGTAAACTAATAAGAATTGAATGTAAAGTAAGACCTATACATGGAATCAGCAGGAAGACCACACAAAAAAAAAAAAAAAAAAAATCACA